GAAAGGAAAGGAAAGGAAAGGAAAGGAAAGGAAAGGAAAGGAAAGGAGAAAGAAAAAAAAAGAAGGAAAGAGAAAGAAGAAAAATCAGAACAACAACAACAAAATCCAAATCCAGATATGAATGTGCACACCAGGCATGCCAACACTCAGGAGGTGGAGACAGGAGTTTCAGAAATTCATCCTCAGCTACTTAGTTGGAGATCAGCCTGTGGTCTCCATGGGACTGTGTCTCAACAAAACAAAACAAAAAACTAAAGTCAAATAACTAAAGTACTTAGATGTACATCTGATAAAGGGCAAGCTGATACACAGGCTGGGAATAATTTCAATGTGGGGGTTGGTAAAATGTCTCAGTGGGGAAGGGCACTTGGCACCAAGCCTGATGATCTGAGTTTGATTCCTGGGAGCACCCCGGGGAGAAGGTGGTAGAAGGAGAGAACCCACTCTTGCAAGCTGTCCTCTGACCTCCACAAAAAGACACACAAATGTAATCAGAAATTAAATTGCTATCAGTTGAGTGTGCTCAAATGCAACAGCACTGAGAAAGTTTCTCCCAGATTGACTGTAGGCAAAAAGCCCTGTAGGCAAAGCCTATTTGATGATCTAGAGAAACTTACTGCTGCACTCAGTGGCCTACCAAGTATTCCAGATTTTCCTATTATGCGCCGGCTGTATGTCTCTGTGATTTTCCTGTGTCTGTCTCTCAGCCACCTTCCCTAACACAAGTCCCTGTCTCTGGTTGGGACTGGAGCCCAGAGCTGATGGGATTTCCCCAGGATCCAGCCTCCGCCCAGCACTGCTAAAGAGGGAGGCGACAGCTGAGTGAGTTGAGGAAACTCCCCGGGAACCTGTTTATCTGCTTCCTGGACAGGCGGGGACTCCTACTGCAAGGATAGGGACCTGGGCTGGACATGGCCTCGGCCCTGAGCCCACCCCGGGGCTCAAAGCCCAAAGCTGTGCCACCTTCGCACTACTATGAGAGCTTCCTAGAGAAAAAGGGACCCTGCGACCAGGTATGACGGGGGAGCCAGCAGGGTTGCTCTGTCCGGGCAACTGCAACCGGCGCAGCCTCTCTGGACTGAGGTCACCCCACAGAGGAAGGGCCGGCAAGGGGAGGTCATGGTGAGGTCATGGTGAGATGACACCAGGGGAGCACGGAGCTCGGCATATGCTGCTGGCTGTGGAAGGTTCTGGCTGCCTGTCTGTCTCTGTGTTCCTTTCAACATTCTGTCCTCTGATTTTATCCCTGTCGGTCTGTCCACCTTACTGCCTGGCTGCCCGACTGCCTAACTGTTGGTCTCTCGATCTGTCCGTCCAGCTGTTTCATTTTTCTAACTTGGTCTCTCTTTCCATTCTGTGAAGGTAAACAAGCCTAGAGACTTCCTCCAGGAAATAAGGTGCCCTCTCATTGCTGCACCTCCCCCCCTCCCTGCCCACTTGTAACCCCATTAAACTTGAGGTTCTGGGCCAAGGTCTGGGCAGGTGGCATGTAGAAATGGTGACAGCTGACCGAGACCGCAGAGGTTAAGGTTGTTTTGAGACAGGTGTTGAGGACTATAACCCAGAAGGGCTTTAAACTTGAAGCAATCCTCCTGCCTCAGCTTTTCAAATGCTAGAATGACAAGTGTGCTTCCCCCCTCCCCCGGAGTCAAGTACTCAAACTACATGCATTCTCTGCTGCACGCATCCCTCCATTTCTTCTGCTCACCACTCTGACTTTACCCTCTGGTCCCTCAGCTGCATCCCACCTGTCCGGGTGAGGGACAGATGGATGGATAGGCAGACATGGGGGTGAATGGAGAGAAGAATGAATGAGTAGGCAGGTGAATTGGTGGGTGTGTGTCTGTATGAATGGATGGGTGGATGGATGAGTGGGTGGGTGGCTGAGTGGATGGATGGGTGGATAGGTATGTGGATGGTGAGTAGATGGATAAATGGGTGTGTGGATGGATGGATGGGTGGATGGATGGTTCTGTGGATAGATAAATAGGGGGATGGGGAGGTGGATAGATGGATGAATGAATGGATGGATGGACGAAGGGTGGACGGATTGATGGATGAATGGGTAGGTGGGTGGATGGATGAATGATTGGCTGGATGGTGGGTTGATGAATGCATGGGTGCGTGGATGCATGAGTGGATAGATGTGTTTGTATGTGGAATACCATTAATCAGGTAAGACCAGCTTACCTTCACAGCAACCATCTCTTCACATTGTGGGGTGCGTGTGTCTCTATTCCATTAGAGTCCCTTTGTTTTCTCCTTTATTAAATGCTGGTGATAGGCTGGAGAGATGGCTCAGAGGTGAAGAGCACTGGCTGCCCTTCCAGAGGTCCTGAGTTCAATTCCCAGCCACCACCTGGTGGCTCATAAACACCTATAATGAGATCTGCTGCCTTGTTCTGGTGTATATGTAATAAATAAATGAAATAAATATTTTTTAAAAAATGCTGGTGATGGAGCCCAGCCTCATGTCCATGCTAGACAAAGCCACTAGCTGTCCCCCAGAACATAGTGTCTTAGACAAAAGAAGATGCTCAGGCTGGGCAATGGGGAAGGAGGACCTCAGCAAACATGTTCTTTTAGGGGCTGGGGCTAAGTGCATTCTCTGCTCACCTAGCATGATGGAGCCCAGGGCTCCATGCCCATTCTGACAGAAAGGGGCTATGGTGGTACACAGCCATCATCCCAGCACTCAGGAGGTAAAGACAGGAGGAACAGAAATGCAAAGTTATCCTGTACTACATGGAAAGGTGTCAAGAAAAAAAAAACTGAAGGAAAGAAAACATAACCTTTACTGAAAACAGGCAGCTTTGTAGAGTGTGGGGAAGGGCACGCAGCCTCAGCAAAGGCCCTGCAGCAGGAAGGAGTATACTGAGCATGTGCAACTTTGCCACCCAGGTTCTTTCTCCTTTCTTCTCTGGCCCCCAGGATTACAGGAAATTCTGGGCAGGCCTCCAGGGTCTAACCATCTGTTTCTACAACAGTAACCGGGACTTGCAGGTGAGGAAGATGATGTGACTCAGGGTCTAATGGATGGAGACCTAGGAGGGAGCAGGCCTGGGATTATGTCAACAAGGGGATGGCCCCATTATTCTGGGGACCCGGATACTCACACACTCCTGTTTCTCTGGGCCAGCCCCTGGAGAAGCTGGACCTGAGGCTGTTTTCAAAGCTCAAAGATGAGGCTCTGAGGGGAAGCTCCCGTGACACTGCCTATCACTTCAGCTTGGTTCTCCGGGACCAGGAGGTCAAATTCAAGGTATGCCAGAAGGAAGGAGAGACTCCTTCACTGAGTCCAACATTTATAATATAATATGGAGTCACACAAAGTCTTCCTCAGGGCTCCTCACATTCTACAAGTCACTGACTGCATAGGACTCAGCTGTGCAAAAGCCACTGGGCAGAGGGCACAGCTATGCAAAGGCCCCGGGGCAGAGAACACCGCTAAGCAAAGGTCTTGGGCAAAGGGCAGGGCTGTCTGTGCAAAAGCCCTGGACAGAGGATGCACCTGTGCAAAACGCCTAGGGCGGAATGAAGCCCTTGGTCCACTTTTCCAAGGAACATATTCATTCTCCTTACCATAAACTCCTCCTCCTCCTCTCGTTCCCCCTAGGTTGAGAGCCTGGAGTCTCACGAGATGTGGAAAGGCTTTATCCTGACCGTGGTGGAGGTAAAGTCAGCCTGTACTTCTCTGTTAGTTATTTTTGTCATCACAAAATGATTGGCACAAGCAACCTAAAGAAGGAAGGGTTTGTTCTTGGTTCAGAGTTAGAAGGCACAGAATCCGCAAGTCACATGGGCTTAGGTAGCAGAAAGGGATGTATCGATGAATCGGCGCTCTGCTCACCAGGCTGTTCAGTCCAGGACCCCAGCCCGTGGGATGGTTCTCAGGGTGTGGCTCCCCACCTCAGTGAACTAGAAGTCCCCTCATGGCGGTGCCCGGAGGTCTGTTTCCCTGGTGACTCTCATTTTCACTGAGCGGACAATTGAGATGAACCGTTATAATCTCTGTCCCATTCCTCCACCACACTTGAGAAATGCCCCTTGATCGTCCCACTCTTCATTCCCCAAAACAATGGCAGGGTGCACAAGTGGATCTCAGTCTGGAAGCTCACAGCCTGAAGCCGGACCACGAAACTAAAACTTTTTGTTCGTTTCTTGATTTGTTCGTTTATTATTTTATTTTTAGATGTGTGTGTGTGTGTGTGTGTGTGTGTGTGTGTGTGTGTGTGTGTGTACCTACACGACTACAATGCCCCCAGATTCCAGAAGAGAGCTGCTGAGTGGTGGATTTTAGGAACTGAACTCCAGTCCTCTGAACTGCTGGGCCAGAACCCCAGCACCTTGTTCTATTTTTGAAACAGGGTCTCGTGTAGTCCAGGTTGGCCTGAAACTCCTTATATAGCTGAGGATGACCTTGAATTCCTGATCTTCCCGACTTTGCCCCACCTTCCAAGTGCTCAGGCTACAGGTGTGCATCACCTCGTACAGTTTAAAACTTCGATTTTTTTTTCTCATTGGCTCCTCCTTGAACCTGAGAGTTGCCCAGCACTCGGAGGAGGTTCTAACACCTTCTGAATCCGCTTTAGGGGCTGTCTCTGAGTGTCTGCGTATCTGTATGTTGTGGGGTGCCCGGGAGTGCTGGGGACTCCTCCCTGGCTACACATGCTGGCCTCAGTTTACCTTTTGGGTCCCCATCCATGGGTTTCCTGCTTGGATCATTCTTCAGCTTCGTGTCCCGTCTAACCTGACCCTGCTACCCGGACACCTGTACATGATGGCCGAGGTCCTGACCAAGGAGGAGGCGCGCCGGGCGGCCGAGGTGCCCTGGTGAGTGCTGGCTGCCCACGGGGAGGGAAAGGCACCCGCCCTAGCTGGGGTTTGAAAGTCTGAGGGCCTCGGGACCGGCCTGGGTCCCTGGGGGCGAGGTTGTAGTCAAGAGAAGGGCGGGGCTTGTGTCTCGGGCTGTTCCTCATTTAAGAAAGGGAGACCGGGTTTGGGAACGGAGACGAGGTCTCTGAGTGGCCGGGCCCACGTCGAGGAGCGGGTTCTTTCTGGGGTCGGGGCCTGGATGGCGCAGCAGGTGTGCGGCCCCCGAGGCCTGGTCGAGGGTGGACCTGCGCGGCTCTCCGCATCTCCGCGTGCGGTCGCGCAGGTGCTTCCTGCAGGTGAGCCGGCTGGAGGCGCAGCTGCTCCTGGAGCGCTACCCCGAGTGCGGGAACCTGCTGCTGCGGCCTGGCGGGGACGGCAAGGACAGTGTGTCTGTCACTACACGGCAGACACTCAACGGGTATGCATGCCTGCATGCGTGCGCGGTTCCGGGGGCGTGGACACCGGGGGAAATGGAACCTAGGGGCGGGGACCCTAAGTGGAGGCTTAGCAGGCAGAGAGGATGCAGGGAAAGTGGAGTCAGGTCAGAGCTCTGGGGACCCGGCCGTGACTTGGAGTGAGGTTTGACGTGTGTGTGTGTGTGTGTGTGTGTGTGTGTGTGTGTGTGTGTGTGTGTCGGACTTTCAGGGGCGGGGTGCTGCCTAAAGTGGGGTTTCTGGGGGGCATGGGTCTCATCCTGGGCGGAGGAGGGAACATACAGGCGGGGCACTGAGGTTAGTCTCCTGGGGTCTCGGGCTCCCAGCTACCCAGCTGTCCATTATCTGCAGGTCTCCCGTGGTCAAACACTACAAAGTGAAGCGGGAGGGTCCTAAGTATGTGATCGACGTGGAAGACCCGGTGAGTCTTGGGGGCTCCTGGGCTCTGTGTTCCTTCTGCCCCAGCCACCCCCTGACTGACCACCTTCTCTTGCCTAGTTTTCCTGCTCCTCACTGGAAGCTGTGGTCAACTATTTCGTGACGCACACCAAGAGGGCACTGGTCCCCTTCCTGATGGAAGAGGACTATGAGAAGGTTCTAGGTGTGTGCGGTGTGGGGCAGCCAGGCTTGGTCAGGGACGCCCTCTGGAGGGCTAGCATCCGGCCTCAGTGCTGCCTCCAGGCTGCCCGCCTTCTCTGTTCCAGGCTTCGTGGACTCAGATCTGGAGAATGGCGAGAGTGTATGGGCTGTGCCCTCCTCGCGAGGCTCAGGTGACTCCCCTTTCCCCTGACTGATGCAGGACCAAAAACTTTGTTTGGTTTGTTTGAGACAGAGTTTCTCTGTGTAGCCCTGGCTTTCCTAGAACTCGCTCTGTAGAACAGACAGGCCTCGAACTCACAGACCCATCTGTCTCTGACTTCCGAGTGCTGGGACTAAAGGTGTGAACCACTACTCCCAGGGGCTCTGTTTGTTGAGACAGAGTTTCACCCTATTGACTGGGCTAACCTTGAACTCTAGAGATCCAGCTGCCTCTGCCTCCCAGGTGCTCAAGGATCAAAGTGTGCCCCCCCACACCTGCTTTGTGTTTTCAATAGACTCTCACATAGCTGAGGCCTCAGATGACAGGCATCAACTCCTATCCTGAGAATGAAGAATTTTGTTTTTATTTTATTATCCTCATTATTAGTTTTTTGAAACTCACAGAGATCCACCAGCCTCTGCTTTCTGCGCGCTGGAACTAATGGTCCATCTCCAAAGGATTTTATTAACAGAGGAGGAATATTTATTAAAAGGGAGGAATAACCACTTCAGAGAGAGCTGGGGTGTGAGCTAGGCAGGAGAGGATGCGGGGTCTCCTTTACTCAGGCAGCAGAGTCCTGAGGGGAGCGCAGCATGATCCTCCTGAGCCATGTGTGTATATGCTGCGCCTCCTAAGGTGTGCGTGCATGTCAGAGGCTCACATACACCTCTGTATATACACATCTTAGTTAGGGTCTTACTGATGTGAAGAGACACCATGACCACAGCAACTCTTTTTAAAATGACTTTTTTTAGATGTATTTATTTATTATGTATACAATGTTCTGTCTGCATGTCCACCTGCACCCCAGAAGAGGGCGCCAGATCTCATTATAGATGGTTGGGAGCCACCGTGTGGGTGCTGGGAATTGAACTCAGGACCTCCGGCCTCTGGCCTCTGGAAGAACAGCCAGTGCTCTTAACCTCGGAGCCATCTCTCCAGCCCTAGGATGATGTTTAATTGGGGCTGGCTTACAGTTTCAGAGGTTTGGTCCGTTACTGTCATGGTGAGCAGCATGACAGCATGCAGGCAGACAGTGCTAGAGAAGGAGCTGAGAGTTCTACGTCTTGATCTGCAGTCAGCAGAAAGAGACTGACACACTGGACATAGCTTGAGCATAGGAGACCCCAAAGTTGGCCCCCACAGTGAAACACTTCCTTCAGCAAACCTAATGGTGCCACTCCCAATGGGCCAGGCATTCAAGCACATGAGTCTGTGGGGGCCAAACCTATTCAAATCACCACCACCACCAACACACACACACACAGACACACCAAAAAAACCACACACACACACACACACACACACACACACACACAGACAAAGACACACAAATATATTTCTGTACCTGTCTGAAGCCAAAATCCCACATGCATTCCAAAGTGCAGACGACAGTGACTCTGTTTCCCATCAGGCCCTGCCCGCTATGCTGATGTCCCAAAGCCACTCCCACCTGTACCTGTGTCTGTGTCCAGCCAGGAAGACAAACTGCCTCCACTACCTCCCCTGCCTCAGTTACCGGACCATGATGAGAACTACGTGACCCCCATTGAAGACTCCCCAGAAACTGAATACATGAATCAGGATGGTAAGTCTGGGGCTGGGCTGCAGACAGTGTTACTAAGAGGAACAGGTGGCACCCTGTGACATCTCTCTCTTGTTCATGCAGTGTCTCCTACTACTCAGCCAGTCCCTCCGAAGCCCAAGAAGCCAGTGAAGATCCCAGCAAAACCTCCAAAGCCACCAGTTGTGCCCAAACCAGGTAGGGCTCCAGGCTCCCCATTGCCCCCCTCTTTGGTGACAGGTGGCCTTGGACCTCATCTGCCTCCTTCTGCAGATCTCAAAGCCATCACCAGTGTCTGGGCCAGGAAGCCAGGCGGCAGCTCACCCCAGGCTCCCTCCCTCGTGACAAGTAAGGAGACTCTGGGTGTCTGGATGCATGGTCCAGGATCCTGGGAGCAGGACACAGTCCAGGTTGCCCCAGCTGAAGTCTGGGTTCCCACACTCCAGGGCTTGGCGATATCACGGCTGAGCTGGAAGAAAAACTCCAGAAGAGGAGGGCACTGGAACACTGATCCATGCTCCCAGGGACCAGTGGGCTATCTCGGGGTACACCGCTCCTCCATCGGCTCTACCCTCGCTCATGGGAAAGGACGCAGCCAGCATGGTGAAGAATGGCCTCCCAACAGTGAAGCAGGAAGAGCCCTGGGAGTTTGGGGGGTAGCCTGAGCTACACAGTGAGTTCCACAGCAGCTTGGGCTACAGAGTGAGACCTTACTTAATAAAGCCCAAACCAAAATGAAAGCGCCCTGTGACCAAAGGCATGTGTCTAGCATGGCCTCTGAGATTGGGGGTGGGGTTGTCGGGCATGGCCCCAAGCTGTCAAACCTGACACCTGTCCACGAGGAAAGCCTATTTCTTAGCTAAGAAATCCAAGGTCTGGGTCACCTATGTGCCCTGTCCCCAAGGACCAGTGCAAGAGCATGTCCAGTGTTATTTCTTTATTATGAAGTGAGGTGGGGAGGGGGCCCTGGCCCTCCCTTCCAGAGTTAAGGCTCCAAGCAGCAGATAGGAGGAGATGCCAGGCCGAAGCGCCCAGCTGGCAGGCAACCCAGGCCTAGGTGAGGCTGGTGTTGGAGCTGCTGGTGGCACTGCCCCTCTTCTGCAGACAGCGCACAGCGCTGGGGACCTGAAGGCCTGTTGTCACTTGGAAGCTTCCACACCACACCTGAGACAGTGGGGGACAGGAGGGCTCAGCCAGGAGTCACCCAGAGGCTGGTCCAGTGCACTCTTTCCCACAGGAGCCCACCCTCCCCATGGCAGCAGGCTCACTGTGAAGGCTGGAAGCAGGGGCTGCGTGAACTTGGCCTTGAACGAATGCAGGAGCTGTTTGGTTCGGGCATTGTAGAAAGACAGGAGGCCTGGGGTGAGGGAAGCAGGGGGACAGGTGTCAGGAAGGGGGTGAGGACCGGGGGGGGCCGGCACACTGGGACAGAGGGAGGCAAAAGTGATGGCACCTTGGTGGAAGTCGCAGTGCACGCCCAGGCAGCTGGGCACGGGGCTGTCCAGCACTTTGACCTTGTTGGCGTGCTTGGCGGTGAAGCTGGCCTGCAGCCAGTTGTTGACATGCAGGCACCAGGACGCAGCGGTCTTGCCCAGCTGCTCAAAGCGGCCCAGGCTGCGGTAGGCCACACCCAGGCCAAAGGCCTTGCTGTCCGGTTCGAAGCGCACCTCCCAATAGTGCTCCCCGCCATCGATCAGCGTGTCCCCTGCGGCATGAGGGGGGCAGAATGGAGCCGAGGGTGCGCATCTCCCATAAATTCCTGAGCTGCTCCCTTGGGTCCAGTCACTCCCAAGGCACACCATGTCCCTGCTCAGGCCCTCAGTTCCCTGTATCTCCCATCCTTACCCAGCACCGTGTAAGACTCAGCTGTGAAGCGGTCCCGTCCCCCACGACCTGAGGACATCCTCTTGGGAGACGGAGTCCCTCTGTGGACAGCAGGAAAGCTCAGCTCAGCTCACACCTTTCCCCGGGGGCAGCCCCCCGTTGCACACCAGCCAACATGCCTGCCATATTCCTCATTTGGAAAATGCCTAACCCACTGAGCCATCTGGTCAGATGTGGAAAAACAAACAAACAAAAACCCTCCCAGACAGGCTACCTGGCTGGGGAGTTTACAGGGGACGCTGTCCGGCCCTTGCCCTCCTTCTCGCGAGCCTTGATATCTTGGACCTTGCCTCCCATGGCGTCCCACTCAACGGAGAGATCCTCCACGCGCAGGTTCTGGTGAGATGTGGACCCGTCCAGGCGGAACATGAATGCTGGGGCCAGGCAGACGAGGGGGTCACAGAGATGGGAAACCCAGATAGACAGAGAGACGAGATGGAGAGCCGGTGACCCAGGCCGACCGGAACAGAGGACGAGGGAGACAGACAGGAGGGGACATACGGGAAGACGAAGGACAGAGTTTGTGGGAGCTGATTGTGAGCCAGAGGGATAAGGTCAAGGGATGGAAGCCTAAACTTTTCTGGAGTCCTGAGGCATTTTCAAACCTGTCTCTCTGCCCTGTGCTTCCACTGACCCCAAAGAAAGAGCATGGCTACAGCAAGAGGAGGTTAAGGCTGGACATCAGAGGGCCTTCCAAAGGTGATACACAAAGAATTACTGTGGAAATAGAGAATTTGTCTCCAGCTCTATAGAAAACAGAAGGAGGAAGGGAAAGAGACTGAGACCACACCATCCATTTACATTCGCAGTCCCAGCTCTCAGGAGGCTGAGGCCTGAGGATTGTGACTTCCAGCCTGGGCCACCTAATGAGACGCCATCTCCAAACACTAACTAAATGTTTTTGTTTTTGTTTTTAAAGAAAGGGAGGGGGCTGGAGATTGTTCCCCAATTTTCCGGTGGACCTGGGTTTGATTCCCAGCACCCACAGGGAAGCTCACAGTGTCTATTCGTCTATCTGTAACTCCACCTCCCTATCTGGCCTCCACCGGCATTTCACACTGCAGCGGATACATGCACTGAAATCATGAAGTCATGATTAGGAAAACCTTAATGGCAGAAAAGGCTAGGCACTAAGGTGAGCTGTTTGCCATAAAAAACAAAACCAAGGGGCTGGAGAGATGGCAGACAGTGCCTGAGGAACAACTCCTGATGTTTTTTACACACACGAACCCCCTATATGCGTTATATGTGCGTGCACGCACACACAAACTAACACACATGCAAAATAAAAGAAAATTCCTGATCACTTCATAAATAGAAGTAAAAAAACTCACAAAAGTCTAAGGTGTCTAAGAAAGTGGCCACGGCAGACTAAGGGTGAGCTCCCCCACGGCCACAGTGACAAGAGTCACATCACCCTATTGTGAGTACCGTATCGAGGACAGGTTCCCAGGACCCCAGGACGGGTGGGAGATTGGGAGTGAGAGAGGGGTGGGAGGCAGTCACCTGGCGTCTCCAAGGTCACCGGCTCGGAGAATTCACCAGCTACTGCCTTGTTACAGGCTTTCACACGGAAATTCATGTATTTCATGTCAAATTTGAGTCCTAGGAGGAAAGACAGGATGTGAGACCACAGGGATACCACCCCTGTCTGTCTGTCCATCTATATCGCATTTAAGATTTATATGTATGTATGTGTATATGTATGGGTGTTTGCCCAGTATGTTTGTCTGTGTACCACCTGTATGCAGTGCCTGCGGAGGCCAGAAGAGGGCGCCATGGCTGACCTTGAACTCCTGATCCTCCTGCCTTCACCTCCACAGCTGGCATGGCCAGTATGCACCAAGCTGGGAATGGAGCTCAGGGTTTCCCTACTGTTGGCTGAGCATTCGGCACCTGAGCCTTGCCCCCCCTTCAGTTCTCTGGTCTGGTGCTGAACTGTGGCTGGTCTACAAGCTATCACTGGTGGGGAGACAGGTGCCCTCAAATGCACTTGTGTGTCTGTCTGTGACTAACCCGCATATAAAAAGTCACAAAACCAGCATGAAGCGGAGAAGCCCGGAGAAGGGATTCTGAGGTCCTATGGAGAAAAAGCGGTAGGTTTGTTCTGTTTTTTGTACGGAGGGGGTGCCAGTAGCTTCCGGGGCTCTGGCACTGGCTGGCATGACCGCTTCCCCTGCAATTAGCATGCTCATTATTAACCATGAATGCTAATTACACATAACTAGCAGGCTGGTGATTATAGCCCGAGATTTGAGAGTTAGGGAGGAAAATCAGGGGTTCCCTGAAAGGTTTTGTAAACTCATTAGGGCCTGACGATTCCCGCCTCCTGGGCCCCTGCCCCCTGTAGGCTGTATGGATGCCTAGACCCTGAAGCTCCCTACTGTCACTAGTGAGTGAAGGAAGCAGAGATGGGTATGCTGCGGGAATCCGGGGACCTGAATCCAGTCACCTAGCCCAAGAAAAAGCCAGGCGTGACACACCTGAGCTAAAGCTGACACCCAAGCTAAAGCTGAGGCGGAGACAGACAGACTAGCTAACCATGAGCTCCAGGACACTGAGACACTGTCTCAGAAAATAAGGTGGAGAGGAGCCATTGACGGAGATGGTATATGCCGACCTCTGACCTTCACACTGGCACAGACATAACTGCAGCTGGATGGCACAGCTAGAAAGATGAGGGTGAAGTTCCTTCTGTGCCTCAGTTTCCTCTGCTTTCAAACAGCTTTGCGTAGACAGCCCTTCCCACAGGGACAAATTCATCCACCTTGCTATCTGTTCTGCTGACAGTTCTAATCCCATCAGCTTGCTCTCAGACCCCAGGAGCTGCAGGAAGCCAGGACCACCAACATGCCATGGGTTGACAGGGTAATGGTGCCAGGAGGGGGCTGGGCGGTTGGGAGATGTTTAGCTAAGCTGAGCGGGGACTGATCTACCAACTATGCTCCCCCACCTGTCAAAGACAGCTCCCTTTCTTGCCTAGGTGTGCTCCCTCTACCTGTAGATTTTCCCTCTCTTATCTGGGAGTGCCCCTTCACCTGTCAAGGAATGCTTCCTCTCCTGCCTGGGAATGCTCCTTCTTCACATATCTGTGAGTGCTCCCACTCCTGCCCTGCTCAGGAATGCTCTCTCACTTTTCAGGGAGTACTTCCTCAGCTGCCTGAGAGTGTCCCCCATCAGGCTGTGCTCCCCACATGCCTGTCTGTCCCTCTATTCACCTGAGAGTGCTCCCTCTTGTGCCTGGCCACACTTCCTCATCTGCTTGTGAGTGCTCCTCACCTAACCTGGAGTGCTCCCTCACCTGCCTGAGAGTGTCCCCTTATCCATCAGGCAATGTTCCCCCACACGCCTATGGGTGCTCCCCCACCTGTCAAGGTGTGCTCAGTCTGCCGGATGCCCTCGACAACCATCCAGGGATGGTCCTCCTTGAGGCGGGGTGGGCCCTCAAAATTGGTCCTGCGATACTCCAGCACGTAGTGGTCAATCTTGCTGTCCTCATCCGGCATGCGCCACACCAGTGTCACACAGTTGTCTGCCACCAGGGACTCGGTCAAGTCGATGATGGGGGCGCTGGGCACTGCCAAGGCCAGGGAGAAAGGTCAGCATCTGAGTCCCCAGGTTACCATGGTGAAGCTCTGTGGGACGAGCTGAGGCTGGGGTTTCCTGAGGTCACGTGGTCAGGGCAGGGCTCTCTGCACACCACCTCAGGGTTCTACCTTTTGGTACTTTTCCATAATTCTCTACAAACCAGGGGTGTGGTCCTGAGAGCACCAACTCCCTAGAAGGTACAGTTCCCTGAGAGTCCCAGAACAGGGCTTTCCCGGGGTTCCAGAGCTCAGAAGGGGGGCCAAACTGAAGACCTACCCACCCACATACCTGCCATCCACAAACCCTAAACATGCATGTTAGGACACACCCCCAAGACAACTCTGGCCAGTGTGTGAACCTGGCTTGGTTAGGTCCTGCCCACTTGACAACAGGCCGTGGGCAGGGCTTGGCTAGGACCCTACCGACAAGTGTGGTAGTCACAGGCACTACCCTCTTGTGGGCGGGGCTCAACTACAGCCCACCCACAGCAGCCACAGGCCCAACCCTGGTTCCCGTGTGCAGGGGCTGGACTTTCTGGCTCCACCCAGTCTGATTCCCTATCCCTCAAGAGTCCTGGGCCCTCGGGCAGGTCCACATCTCACCAGGCAGGAACTTGAGGGTCTGTAGCATCTGCCGTTCCTGTGTGAAGTCCACCATGAGGTGACTCATATTGTCGCTGACCTTGGCTTTGAGTGACAGTCGGAAGGCTGGGGCCATGGTCACACTGCAGGGAGGGAGGCAGGAACGAACCAGTGGCAGCTTGGCAGCAGAGGGGCCGGGCCAGGACACCTGGGGTCCCCTGCCCTGTGCTCCTGTGCAGTGCTCAGGGACCTGGCCTCCCCAGTGGGTGTCCCCACCGTCACACACAGGCAGGACTCTGGGATGCAGGCCTGACCTTGGCATCTTACCCATCTTTGATTTGCTTGGCGGCCTAGAAAAGGACAGAGCAGAAATCAAAGGTGCATGTCACCCAGGTCTGTGCCACTATACAGGCAGGGAGACTGAGGCATGGCAGAGGCTGAACTGCCCCCTTCCAGACTATGTATCAAAGAGACAAAGGTAGCCCTTGCCCCCGATCCCCCATGTCCAGGGCAGACAGCAGGCACGCTTACTTCTTTTTATTTTTGTTGTTTTCTTTTGTTTGCTTGTTTTTGCGACAGGGTTTCTCTGTGTAACCCTGGCTGTCCTAGAACTATGTAGACCAGGCTGGCCTCGAACTCAGAGATCCACCTGCCTCTGCCTCCTGACTACTGGGCTAAAAGCGTGCGCCATTACTGTCTGGCTTTATTTTTAGTTTTGAAATTACATTTATTTCTCTGTGCATACGTGCATAGAGGTCAGAGGCCAACCCTTGGGAGTGGGGTCTCTTCACCATGTTGGGGAGTAAAGTTGGATCATCTGGCTTGGCTGCAAGCACCTTTCTCTCCGAGTCACCTTGCCAGCTCTGAGCCTCACATTTAACAAAGCAGCTTAACTTAAATCTCAGAAAAAAATAACGAGCGCTCCACAAAGTGAAAACCCACTCTGAGTAAAAACCCACTGACCACTTAGTATGAAATTATAGTAATAATTTATTCATCGAGGCAGCTTGTTTTGCATTTTGTGACAGGGTCTCATGTAGTCCGTGCTGGCCTGGAATTGGGGCTGAGGCTGGCTCTGAACTCCAACGGTGCTGGGGATGGAACCCAGGGCCTGATGCATGCTGGGCAAGCGCTCTACCGACTGCACCCCAGTTCCAGCCCTCACCAAACAGTCTCAGAGACATAATTATGCTTCACGCTGCATGGAGGAACTACCTAAATAAAATGGCCTGTGGGCTCAGTGAGTAAACGTGCCTGCCGCTAAGCCTGATGGACCTATGGCTGATCCATAGACTCACACGAAGAGAAGGCAGGATTGCTGTGGGCTGCGCACTACCCTCTCCCAACACAAATAAATATGTGAGCAAAACTGAACACTGTACATTTGACCCAGGGACCCTCACTGACACCCACCTGTGGGAAGTCCTCGCTGTCTGCAGCCTGCAGGGTTTGGTTGGCTGTCTCCAGGAGCTCCTCAGAGCTCTCCAGGGCCCTCGTGCAGGCGGCCAGCTGGTTCTGTGGGCGGCGAGTGACAACGACAAATCCCTCAGCTACCACAAACCCACCCAGAGCTCTACAAACCCCCAAGATCCACAGCATAACAGGACCCAGGTAGGAACTGTAGACTGGAGCCTTGAGTACTGGTGGGGCCAGTCTGAGCCTGATTCGTGGCTGGTCACACCCGAGTCCCCCAGGCTCCTCGGTTAGCACAGGTGGGAATGTGGGATCTTAAGAAGTCAGGATGAAGTTTGGGTACACTGTGAGAGATGCAGCTTGGACTTGGAGAACCCCTGTGCGCCAGGGGAGGTGTTTGAGCGGGAGTCTTATCCTGGTTTGGGGGGACCAGTAGGGAGGCCTGAGAAGGCATTGGGGGTGGTGGCGACGGGGAAGGCATTTGGGGGAAGGGATGGCTGTGTGGACGCACCTGCAGCTCATAGGTTCGGCTGGCCCGGTCCTGCTTGATCTTCATCAGCATGGATTCCTTCAGCTCCTCCAGAACAGACGTGAGGGACTGGAACTCGGCTTCCAGGTCCTCCTGGACTTTGGCTGAGTTTGCCTGCATGGGAAGAGACCACCATGAAGGCGGTGCAGTAGCGCATGTCTTTACCTCCAGCACTGGAGAGGCAGAGGCAGGAGATCTCTGTGAGTTCCAAGTCAGCCTGCTCTACAGAGCAAGTTCTAGGCCAGCAAGGGCTGCATAGAGAGATCCTGTCTCAAAAAAGAAAAGGCGATGCAGACACGGAAACTGAGGCATGGAGAGCCTCTGGCAGACACAGAGGGGTGCTTCCATCTTGTCCCCTGCACCCGCCGCCTGAGCATGCAGGACCTACTGCACTGCTCACCTCTACATTCAGCAGCATCTGCTTCAGGGAGTAGATGAAGGTCTGGGTTTCCTCATTCTTCACGGCCAGGGTGGTGATGATTTTTCTTAGCGCCTCCTGAGGGACAGAAGGAACATGGGCAGCAGGCTTGGGTGAGCACTGCCCTCCCTCCAGGAATGTAGGCCTTAGGCGAGGCTGCAGCATTCCCATAGCAGAGAAGGAAACTGAGGCGCAGCAAGGCTCTCGGGGATGGACCCTGAGCACTGAGCTTACACAGTTTTTACTTCGTGTGTGTGTGTGTGTGCGTGTGTGTGTGTGTGTGTTGGAGGCGAGGTGTCGATGTCGGGTGTCTTCCTCTCTCACTCTCCACCTATTATTGAGCCAGGGTTTCTCACTGAGCTGTGGCTCGGCTGGCTGCCATTGCGTCCAGGGATCCTCCTGTCTGTGTCCCTGGGCTGGGGTTACAGTGTATGCAATGACACAAACTTCTTACAAGGGCACTGGGGACTTGAACTCAGGTCCTCAAGCTTGCACAACAAACACTTTACCCACTGAACCATTTCCACAGTTCCTTGCTTTGTTTTGGAGACGGTCTCACTGTGTAGCCCAGGCTAGCCTGGAACTCAACCTCTTGCCTCTACCTCCAAAGGCTGGGATGACAGGAGTGTACCACCAACACCCCAGGCCAGTATCTCCATCTTGAAAGTTGAAGGTGATCTGCAGTGAGAGAGCAGCCTGGGCAATCGAGTCCCAGAGTCCAACTGGGCTATCCCGGGGTAAAGGGTTATATGGAGAAACAAACTTCTCGTGGGAGAGATGTGACAGGCAGGAGGCAGCCTGCAAAGTGGATGGAGTTCACCTGGGCAGCTTGAAGGTCTTACTTGTGAAGGGCGGGGCTTGGAGAGGAGGATCCTCAGGGTAAGTGGAGGAGGACACCAGAACCCGACTCCCACCCAGGTTGGGGGGGGTGGAGCTGGACACTGTAAAGCTGGGGGCTCTAAGCTGCTGGACGAGGACCCTGCTGAGCCCTGGCTAGGATGATGAGGTGCTGAGTGAGGACGGGGGGAGGGGCGAGGGTCTGCGTGTAAACCGGAGCCGGGTGCAGTCGGCCCGTGCAAGGGAGGGGCGCTGCGGCATCACCTGGACCCCTCCCCGCGCCCGCTCCGTGCATCCCTCCGGGTCCTACCCTCTGGTCCTCCATTGCTGCAGCCCCGGGTCGCCCCGGCCCGGCCGCGGGGTCCCTCTCGGCTGGTTCTCCAAACCCTCAAACCTCCTTGGCCGCAGCCGGCAGCCAATTAGCCCTCCGCGCCCTCACCACCTCCGCCGCCGCGCCCCCGGTCAGCGCTCCATCACTGCATGCACTGCGCATGCCCTCGCGACTGGGGCTGCTTGGGAAATGTAGTCCGGAGTTGAGACTGGCCTTCCTCCAGAGCCTGGGTATCTAGCTGCCTGTGATGCTGGGAGGATGAGAGAGTGCTCAGGCGGAAGTTGGAATATCTGGCTTTGACCTTTGCTCATACCTTTTCTTTTTGTTTTGTTTTGTTTTGTTTTTGTTTTTCGAGGCAAGGTTTCTCTGTATAGCCTTGGCTGTCCTGGACTCGCTTTGTAGAACAGGCTGAACTCACAGAGATGCGCCTGCCTTTGCCTCCCTTAGTGCTGGGATCACAGGCATGCACAACCACGGCTGCCTCCCTCAGGTCATGTCTTGTGATCTCGGGACTATCCCTTAGTCACCCCCACATCGTCGCCATCTGCTATTCAAATTGGCACCCAGGCTGTCCACCCTATGCTGCCCTGAAAGCTGTTCTTCAGTGGCTCACATGCTTGCCTTTTACTGCTTGTACAATCAACTAGCGGTCAGCCGTTATGGTCACACAGTGAGAAACGCTCCTATACATCCACAGAGCTCCACACTAAATCTCCCCCTAGAAACCTCTCGACCAGCCCCTGGCCTTTAGCGCTAAGCATGTTTATTATGTTCGGCTGGCTCTGCTGTCAACCTGGCAGCGTCTGGGGCTCAGGGAGGGGACCAGCTGCTGGTTGAGAACCTCTGGGTCGCATCCCCTTTAGGGTCAAATGACCCTTTCACAAGGATTGCCTAAGACCATCAGAAAACATAGATATTTACATTGTGATTCAAAACAGTAGCAAAATTACAATTACGAAGCAGCAATGAAAATAATTTTGAGTCAGCCCAACATGAACTGTATGAAAGGGTCACAGCATTAGGAAGGTTGAGAACCACTGGCCTGGGGCTTTGTCTACCCAGGGTCTTTAAACCCTGCTCTTCTGCCCAGGGCACGGTCCTTCCTGCTGCTCAGAACAATTCCAGGAAGCTCTCAGTAAGAAAGTAGGTCATGGTTGTAGCTGAGCGTGAGACAACTCTCTTGGTTAACAATTATCATACTGACCACTGACCCCAGAGTGGGGCTCAGGCTGGGGACTGAGCTTACTTTTGCCCAGGCCTTGAAGCCTCACCAAGAACCCGTAAGAGAGACTTGGCCTTGCCAGGCTGAGACCTCTTTGTTCCAACAGAGAGAGGTCCCAACCTCAGGCTTGGGGATGGTTGTATATACACAGACCACCAGGAAGTTATAGCTGTTCTGTGGTTTGACAGTGATCAGGGTGACTTGGTTTTGCTACCAGAGCAGATCTCTCTATGTAGCCCAGGCTGGCCTGGAACTCACAGTGATCCTCGTGCTTCTGCTTCCCAAGTGCTGGGATTAAAGGTGTGCACCACCACCGCTGGGCTGGTTATTACCCCACGACACCTGTGAGAACCCAAAGACTCCTGCTCAGTAGCCTGCACCTGAGCACCTTCCAGGCCTGGGCCCCCTGCCCAGCACTGCAACCAGGAAAGGGCTTGGTACTCAGGCACCGAGGCAGGGTATTATTAATTTATTGATTGATTTTTGAGAAGTGTCACATTGCCCAGGCTGGCCTCATGCACCATGTATAACCAGGGCTGCCCTTGAACTGGTTTTTGTTCTTTTGTTTTGTTTTTGAGACAGGGTTTCTCTGTGTAGCCTTGGCTTGGCTGTCCTGGACTCTCTTTGTAGACCAGGCTGGCCTCGAATTCATAGCCATCCACCTGCCTCTGCCTCCCTGAGTGCTGGGATTACAGGCATGCACCACCTTGCCTGGCTCTGCCCTTGAACTCTTAATCCTCCTGCCTTTACCTCCCAAATGCTGGGACGACAGTCATGCCCCCCCCATGCCTGGTTTATGGGCTGCTGGGGCTGGAACACAGAGGTTTTGCATGCTGGATGTATGCTCGCACCACTGAGCCCATCATTCCTCGCTATCCTTCTGTCCCACATTCTGCTACTGCTCTTCCTCTGCATCCTTTGTATATTCCTGTAGAATCTTCCAAAGAAATTTCCACTCCCATGACCCCAATCTCCACACTCACAGACAGATGCATTCTCCTTTTTGGATGTAGAATACTTTGAGGTGAAAGGAACTCGACCCCTTTTCCCCCACACCCTGAAAGACAGGATGTCTGCCTGCCCCCAGTGTCACCTCAGTGGAGGTGGGGTGGGTGCTGTGACAGGAAGAGTGAGTGCCTGTGGGGGCTGGGCTGACCTGAGTGCAGCAGAGTGAGCCTGGGACCTGATGGTTCAGGGATGGAGTTTTCTGGCTGGGCTCTCATTCTGCTGCAGCTCTGGGGTAAGTACTTTGGGTCCTCACCTTGTGGACCCCCTCCTGCTGTCCACCCCATTTCAGCTGCCTGATCCCTCCTCAGAACCACCCCGAACACCAGTCTCCTTTTCTGGATAGCTGAGCCCTTACAGGGGTTGGAGGTCCTTACAGGGTCTGCAGAGGAGTCCAAAGTTCGGCATAACACCAGCCTATATGGGCCTGGAAGCCCAGCCTCTATGGTCTCCATGCTCTAAGATATTGTTTTTGGAGGTCAGGTTCCCTCTTTGTAGCCCCGGCTGGCCTGAAGCTCAGAGATCTGCCTGCTTTTGCCTCTGGAGAGCTGAACTTAACTGTGTGAGCCACCATGCTCTGCAGGGATTTTTAAAAAACTATATGTATCTGGGGTGTCTGTGTGCATGTAAGCTGAGGCACCCCCAGAGGCTAGAGGTGTGGGGTCTCCTGAAGCCAGCCACCTTAACCACTGAGCCATCCTTCCAGCCCCCTCTCCTCCTCTTTACCATGTGGCCTGTGAGGAATGGAAGTCAGCTCATTAGTGCTTTACCTGCTGGCCCCTGATATCTTGCTGGCCCCTGTTTTTACCTGTGTGTGTATGTGTCTGTGTGTTTGTGTGTCTTCCCTCACAGAGGTCATGTGAGGAGGCCCAAGGTTCAGTCCAGGCATCTTCTTGATCCATGTCCACTGACTTTCTGAGATTGAGTCTCTCATTGGCCTGAGGCTTGCAGGTGGAGGGGCTGCTGGGCAGAAAGCTCAGTGATCCCTCAGTCTCTGTGCCCCCCGCAGGGTGGCATCTGTGCACCACCACACTTGGCCCTTTGCAGGGGCTCTAGAGATTCGAACTTAGGCCCTCACACAGTGCTCTAGACTTGGGTGACACTTGTGTTCTCCCTAGGCCTACGGGAAGCTGTGAGTCTGATCGCGCAGCAGTGGCCTCCACTGGTGAATGTGACACAAGGTGGTAATGTGTCCCTGTTCTGCATGGTGACGCCAAGTCAGGCCTGGGAGAGGCTGCGAGTGGAGTGGACCCTGAACAACTCTGACCTTTGTCACACACTCATCTCAAATGGCAGTCTCAGATCTGTGAGCTGTGAGTCTCGGAGACAGCTGTTCTGGGTGCCACCTGGGAACCTCACCCTGCGGCTAGACAGTGTGAACTTCAATGACAGCGGGGACTACGTATGCAAGGCCACCCTGGAGATCCCCACATTGCAGGAGGCTAAGGGCAATGGGACAAAAGTCATAGTAGAAACAGGTATGAGTGGGGATGAAGTGGGGAGGGTCTAGACTCCTCAGACTCCCAAATCTCAGACACCAGCCCTTGGAAAGCTGAGGCAGGAGGATACCAGGCTCAAAGCTAGTTTGGACTCCATAGTAAAAGAAAGAAAGAAAGAAAGAAAGAAAGAAAGAAAGAAAGAAAGAA